GGGCACGACCAATGGCACAGGTTTGGGCGCCCGGGCGGAGCGGACTCACGATGTGGAAGCTCCCGAGGCCGCCGCCGCCGCTGAGGAGGAGCGCGGTGCGCCCGTACGTGTGGCGCACCTCCCTGCGCACGCGAGGGGTTGCCGGCGGCAGGGGCAAGACCTGAGCAGAGGCCCGAGAACCCGCGCTTCTTGAGCCGCCCCCGCCGCTCTTCCTCATTCCTGCCTGCCACCCAGCCACCCTGCTAGCTCGCCTCTGTCTGCCAGTGCCTCGACCCCAGCACTTCCAACAAGGCGCGCTCCCCACCTGAAAAAGGCCAGCTTCTCGTCGTTGCTGACGCCAGCCTCCGGCCAGTCTGTCAGCGTAGACAGCTGGGGGGGAGGGGGATGGAAGGGGCGAATTGAGTGCAACCATGTGTAGTGAGCAACAGGCGCGTGGCAGGCACCCGCCGATTACCGTACTGCTTGGCCAACAAGGCGGCGCAAGGTGCCGCGCTCGCAAGCCAGGCTGTCACCAGGGGCGCGACCCCCGGCTGCCGCCGCCGCCACCGCCATGGGACCATGGCGATGGTTCGCTAGCAGGGCCCCGCCACTGCAGGGCACACGAGTGGGCCTGCGGGGCCGCCCTGTTCACCTGCGTCTGGACCTCCGTGATGTAGCTGCGGATCGTGGAGGGCACCGAGTGGGAGTGCTCGTGCAGCTGGCTGCGGGGACGCAAGGCAGGGCGCGGAGCGGGCGAGGGGAGGGGCGGTGAGGGTTCGATTAGCACGTTCCCTGCCGGCTTGGTGCTGCCGCGTGCCCATGCACGGAGGCCAGGCCGACCCAGTCCGCGCCACCAGGCCGAGCCCCCGTACGCCGCGCTGCCAAGTGCGGCCCCCTGCTGCAAAGCGCCCGCGAGGCCCCCGGCCGGCTGCGGCACCCCCGGACTGCGCCGCTCGCCTGCGGCGCCCGCTGCTGCACGACCGGGCGGCGCCTGCGGGCCTTATGCTCTGTGCGCGCGCCCTCACCTCTTGGCGACGTTGGCAACGTTCCTGATGAGGTCGCTGCGCAGGTTGAACATCATCTCCCGTATGTTGCCGCCCTCGCGCACCTGCTGCAGGTGCTGCAGCTTCTGCAGCAGCAGCTTCCTGTCGTAGAGGCGCCCCTCCTCGATGCCGCAGCGGCCGCCCAGGCGGTTGGCATCCACCTGGTCGAGCTGCTCCGCCAGCTCGCGCCACTCCTGGGGGCAGCAGAAAACAACGCACGCGCATGGTTTCGAACGCGTGCGTTCGACCGCGTGTGGGTGCTGAGCGACGCTGCTGCGGGCGAAAGTGGGACCAGTGCATGGGTGGTGCAGACCGCAGTGCGGCCTGCAGCGGCCCGGGCCGCGCAGTCGATCGTGGCTCGCTGCATAGCCTCCACACCTGGTAGCTGGTCGCTGCTCGCATGCGCTCTCCAAGGTGGCGTATCTGCTGTGCGCGGGCGTCAAACCGCTCCCGCCAGCGGCGCACGAGAGACGACACGACGCCGGCCGCAACAAACAAGCCTGTGAGGAGCGCGGCGGAGGGGGCAGGGGACGCCAACGTCACAATTCAACCGTTTACACGCTGTAGATCACGCCCTGCTTATACAGCGGGCCTGGATTGCCACTATTGAGTCAGAGAGATCGTCCAGGGGCCCTTCCCCCACCGTCCCTCCTGTAAGCTGGCGTCGGAGCAATGCATTGAGTCAGCTACAAAATCATAGCATGTCCGAGGCTGCGTCTGGAGCCACAACAGTGTGGCCCGCGGGCGCCACGCACTCCGCGCCCGCTCACCCAAGATAACATGGCACCGTCTGATGACCTCGACCCCATACTGTCTGCTCCACCTCTGAACCCAGTGATTGCGGGGCAGAGCGGGGCCGAACAGCCACGCCACCCAGTGCAGCACCACCCCCTTGAGCCAAGTCAGCAGCTTGCCGCACGACCGGCCCAAGAACAGCTGTGCCGTTAGCACGCGGCCTAGCGGGGCTGTCAGAGATGTCACGAAGCGTGACAGGGACACTAGGGACAGCTGGAGGAACCAGACGAGGAGCTTGTGCTCCGCGGACTGTGTCTTCAGGGCCCCATAGGGCTTCGCTTTCTTGCGGGGCTTCATGGTATATGCACGAACACGAACTGCACAAGGAAGGCCGAGTATGGGGGCCCAAGGCATCAAGGAGGTCGGCGCAACCGTGCGTCCGCTCAGTGCCCGCCACGCAGCTGTCGAGTGCAGCCGGGCATACTGCCGCTGCTTTTCAGTCTCGCGACATGCCGAATTCGATGTGGATTTGATGACTAGGTTTGGCTATCAGCCGAGGCCGTCGCCGGGCCACCGCGCTGTGTATGCCCGCCACACGGGCGTCGGTTGGCGACAACGCAGCCTTAGTCGAGTTGAGGCACAAACTGCATGCATTGGCAATTCTCTAGCCACTTACAGTATCTAATACTTACATGCCCTATATCCATCATCCTCCACGGTACCAATGCGGCACGAGCACGCATTGCCAGCACACAGCTGGTGGCGGTCCAGTCCGCTGCTGCCGCTGGTGGTGGTTTGATAGTAGTTCCCTAATCAGCCGCACGCCAAGCCCTGGTCCGCCCGCCAAGCACCCCGCAGACGGTTGCTTTCGTCGCACCGCAAGCAGGACCTGCTGCTGATTACACTTCATTGAGACGCCAGCGTGCTTGACTTGTAATCGCACAAGTACATGGCATACTGTCTGTCCCAGGGCCGAGTGGCCTCAGTGTGCCTCACACGTGGTGAGTAGTAGTAACAATGAGCACAATGCTACTTGATCAGACACATTGCCAAACAAAAAACAATCTGTGTGCCATGCACATATTAAAAAACCATGCAAACCGCATGTGAGCGCTGCCCTGGCGGACCAGCGTGGCTGTGCAGGCCCCCTCCCCCAAAAACACCAGCGCCCCGGCTGCCTCAAGGCAAAGCCTATCTGCTGCGCGCAGCTCTACCCGTCGCGCCGCCGCCCAAACACCACGAAGCAGGGGTTCAGCAGGTCCTCCTTGTTGTACTCGAGGGGCCGCTCCTTTAGGACCGCGTCCTGTGGGCGCGGGTTTGGTGAAGAGTTGCGGGATAGCAAACAAGGGAAGCAGGCGGACAGCAGGGTGAGGCAAGAGTGAAAATGGAGGAGAGCCGGTGCTCTTTGGGGGGACAGCCGGGCAACCCTGTGCGCAGAAGGTACCCGCCCGTCAGGTCGACCGCCGCTCGTGTCGCGTGCATGCTTGGTGCAACGAACTCTGTCCGCAAGCGCGTATCAAGCCGGCCATGTTCCGCCGACCGCGCCTGCCGGCCACGCCCTGCCGGCCACGCCCGTCCGGCCACGCCCTGCCGGCCATGCCCGTCCGGCCACGCCCTGCCCGCCGCAGGCGGCAGGTGCCTGCCGTGCCGGCCCTCCGCCTGCCCCCCCCCCCGTGCGTCCCACCTTCCAGTCCTCAAGGAGCTCCCCCTTCCCTGTGCAGCGCCCCGCGTACAGCACCACGCCCCCAGCCTCGCGCACTATGATGTCAGCCGCCGCGGTGTCCCACTGTCCGCAGGGTTTGCCATGAGGCGGGTTTAGGTCACGGGTGCTGGGCGCTCGCATGCATGGGCTGGGGCGTGCGTAGAAAACGCTGGTGTGCCCCGAAAAGCTAGTACGGGTGTCGGGTCGTGAGCACTCGCGCAGCGATATGCACGGCATGTGGGTGATCTGATAACAGCGCCAATCGAGCGCAGCTCGGCTGCGCCATCGTTGCATCGCCCACCTCCATGGTTGGCGCCAGACGCGGATACGCGTGGGCGATGCCCTCTGCAACCTGTGCAAGTGCATGTGCATGCGCAAGGCTGTGTTTGTTAACCTTGACAAGCCCCAGGTGCCTGGAGGGCTTTCCCCATGACATCCGCATCCCTACCCGCCCCAAGACCTCTGCGCACCATCATGAGTTTCAGGCTGCTGCCCATCTGCCGAAACTCTGGGTTCTTGAACAAAGCAACAAAGTCCTGCGGAACGAAGGGAGGACACAGTCTTGGTTCAGATGCACACAGGAAAGGCTCAACTATGAGGGCAGCGCTTAGCCAGGCTACAGCAGCAGCAGCAGCAGCAGCAGCAGCAGCAGCAGCAGCAGCAGCAGCAGCAGCAGCAGCAGCAGCAGCGGCAGCAGCAGCAGCGGCAGCAGCAGCAGCAGGAGCAGCAGTAGTAGTAGCAGCAGCAGCAGCAGATGCATGCGCAGCTGCGGGATTGCCCCGTCAGCACCAGCAGCTGCTGCTATGGCAGCTGGGCGCCAACCTGAACCCTTCACCCAACCAACCAGGCCCTCAAGCAATGGTCCCCAACCCGGCCACCTTGGTCGCGCTGCTCATGTGTGAGGCCGACCCTACGATCACAACACCCTCCTCTGCGGGGTTGAACTCGGCCGCCCTGATTTGGCTGGTGACGCCCTGTCCAGGAATTGTGGACAAGCGGTTCAAGATGGCTTTCAAAACAGCTGGTCTCTATAAGCCCGACTTTGAGGGTGGAAGGGCTCCATGGAGCACTGGTTGCAAGCGTGGGTGCAAAGGCGCCATCATTATCTCGCCCAGAGGCACAGAGCGACCCTCGACGGTCCCTTGACATCATCACCCATCGACACCTGCGCACCTCGCGCCGCACGAACGCGCCGCGCCCCTCCACTGCGAAAAACGTCTCCTTGGTCACGGGCACGTGCAGCACGCCCAGCACGGGGGAGCCGCCCTGCACCAGCGCGATGTTCACGGTGAACTCCCCGTTGCGCTTGACAAACTCCTTGGTGCCATCCAGGGGGTCCACCAGCCAGCAGTACTGGTAGCCTGGGTTCGGGTTAGGGTGCTATAAGCGTGAGGACGCATTTAGATGACTGCACATGTGCTCTGTGGTTGGTGATACCGGAGGAGCTTGCTGCCAAACTTTGCAGGTTGACGCACCGGGATGAGTAGGAGCCAGGGCGCATGATCAAGCTGCAGCACATACAACAGGGGCATGCTGTGGCGTATGGACTCTGATGGCTGGGCAGAACGCCTGCCACCTGGCCCACCTTTTCGTATGGAGTAGGGCAGCTGCTTGTTCTCTTCAGATATGATGGGCACGTGCGGCGCCAGCTCGGCCTTGGAAACGGCGGGGGAGGGTGACAGGAGCGCGCGTGCCCGCGAGCATGGGATACACCACAGCCTCGGCGAGCGAGCCCTCAAAAGGTACTGCGCAAGCCCCTAGTTCGCGGTCGCCCTCGCACACACAGAAGCGAGGGGCAGAGACCAGGCGCATCCACGCAGCGAAGCCGCCGCGTGCGCGCACGCCCATTTGCGAGCTGCCCGCGCCGGCCGCCACAGGGCCGCGGGGCCTAGCTGGTAAAAGGGCTCACCAGGCCCTTGCATATGATGGCGTTGGCCTCTATGTCGGCGCGTGTTAGGGGGCTCATGTCGTCCTTCACCTCCAGCCCCACGTCCTGCACAGCCGGGTTGGTGGTGCAGGGCGCGGGAGTTGCAAAAGGCGGCCCGCATCAGGTGCAGCAGTCATAGGTCTGCGCAGTTCGGCATGCGGAGGCGCAAACACCCTTGAGCAAGGGGCCTGAAAGGCCAGGCCTGGCAGCATGGATCAGGACACCCCACCATACATGCACGGCTCCCCCCGGGCGTTGGCAAATCAACGTCAGCTGCTGCTGCCGCCTCTAGCTGCACACCTCGCTGCTATATACAGCCATGATGGCCTCGCCTGCCGATTCTGCAATAGCAATCACTCTCTCTACAGGCACGTGGCACGTCACCTGAGACCAGGGGTGGTGGGCAAAGGCGCCTTTATTGATGTAATTAGCATATGCCCAAAACCAGCGGCGTGGCTTGAGGGCGATTTGGTGGTGCTTGCCCAGCACGTGGCAGCCTCAAGGCTTCAAGTGCACGCTGGTGGCATGACGGGGGCGACGCAGCGCGGCTGCGGGCAGCTCACGTCGAATTCTACGGCAAGCGCCTGTGGCGCCGCCTGTGTGGAAGGTCCCGCGCCCATCCCTGCTGCTCCTGTTGGTGGGCGTGCCGGTTGATCCCCACGCAAAGATCCTACAAATTAGCAGAAAGGCGAGGGGTAGCTGACGATCAGTTGCACCACCACAAGTGAGCTGCAGGCAACTGGCCTGGCAGCGAACAACTTGATGCAGTTGCTGTGCCGCCAGGGCAAACCACCATGTCCACTGGGGCGGCACGTCCGCCACTGCATCTACCACTGGTGCATGCGCCATCAAAAGGCAACTGACACAGAAGCTTCAGACAACACCTCAAAGCCATAGCTGTGAAAGCACATTGGTAGAGCACCTGTAGCTCAGGCTGTCAGGCAGGTCCAAGCTAGCTTCCTTTCGTTCAGCAGTGCCTGAGGCGGCGAGGGAGATACTACTAGAGACATGAATGCATCACGGTGTGATCAATACAAGGACGAGCTGCTGAGATCACCTAGTGACGACGCATCAGAGAGAAGTCCGGGTTACGCGATCTGGTATGATAATCGTGTGCAACTCCACTCCGACATTTCGAAAAAATGCATATTCACACATTGTATTGGCACTGTGGTCACCTAGCAATAACAGTGTAGATCCGTGGTGGTGCATCAAGCATGGAACACCGGTGGGAGTTAGCCGAAGTTGTGGCATATGTCTTGAACCGCGGATACCGGCGGGTCACGCTGCAGTTTCCTGATGACATGCTGGAGGAGGCACCGGCCGTGGCGCGTGCCCTGCAGAACGAGCTATCTGGCTGCTCCCACGCAAAGGTGGGCTCTCCAGCATTGCAGACGCTCCGCGCTGCGGGCCCATGCGAAGCGTGTGCGGTACGCCGCCCGAAGCCGCCGCCATCGCTGCTCAGCAGTCCTGCACTCGCAGGCCCTGGGATCGACCAGCACAGGTTGCATAAGGGACCCTCTATTCCTGGATCATATGATGCAGGTGTATGTGCTGGCAGACACTACATACAACCCGCTCAGCATCGACGAGGTTGCGGCGCAGCATGTCAACGCAGACTGCGTGGTGCGCTCCGTCGCAGCTCTGTGCAAGCATTGCACTTCAGTGCCGCGTGCCTTTGAGCAGCTGAGGGCAGTTGAGCTAGAAAGACCTGGAAAATTTGTGGTAATGCCGGCACCTTGACCTTGGCGTGGCATGCACCACTGAAGCCCCGACGCCGCTGTTGCATGCCCCCGTCCCCCGCCGTTGCCTCCTCGCACGCCCACCCAGGTTCATTTTGGCCACGCATCTCTCACGCCGGTCACCCGCACGCCGGCGCTCTGCGTCCTGCCCCGCGCGCCACTCGACGTTGCGGCGTGCTGCGGGCACCTCGCCGCGGCGCTGCGGGAGCACGGCAGCGCTGGCGATGGGGGCGCTGGCGAGGGGGCGGGCAGCAGTGGTGTGGCCGACTGGGCGCTGGTGGTTTATGACCAGCTGTACGTGCATGCGGTCGAGCAGCTGAAGGGGCAGCTATTGGAGGTTTATCAGGTGCGTGCTTGGTGGCACCTGCGGGCTTGTGTGTTGTGTCCGCCAATGAGGGTGGTTTGCTTGCCGAGCCCGGAGTGTCGAAGGCTGGGCCACAACGGTCCTGCGTGCCCTCACGCACCTCCTCCACTAGGGGCCGCTGAGGGTGGAGTTTGCAGACGTGGCGCCGCTGCTGCTGGACCCACCCAAAGCATCGACAAGCGGGATCGCCGTGGCGGGCGAAGGCGGCGGAGGCAGCTGCTGCAGGGGCGCTGGCTGCGGCGGCGCCGGCGCAGTTGCGGGCGCTGAAGGGACCGGCATAGCAGGTGCAGCGACGGAAGAACCTGGGGCCCAGCACCCGCCCTGCAGCAGCACAGCAGCAGGCGGACGTTGCGAGGCGGCCGCTGGGGCGATGAGCAGCAGCAGCAGCAGCAGCAGCCGAGATGCAAACGATTACGTCGCAGGGGCAGAGGCCAGCAGCAGCAGAGGCAGCGGCAGCAGCAGTAGCAACGGGTATTCACCGCCGCCACTTGGTGGCCTCATCTGGTGCGCCCCCCCTGGAGGCACAGCGACCCCGCGCTGCATCATTTGGGTCGGCCCCCCCTCTGGGCCCGCGCTGACCCACCTGCAGCTTACCCACAGCGCAGCCGCGTGGGCGGGCATTGACCCCGCAGACGGCTTCAAGGCCACGGCCGGCCTCAGCGACAGCCTGTCGCGGCTGCTGCGGCGGCGGTACTTTTTAGTTGAGAAGGCGCGGGCCGCGAGCATCATCGGGCTGCTGGTGGGGACGCTTGGGGCGGCGGGATATCTGGAAGCCCTGGAGGCACTGCGGAAGCTGGCCGGCCAGGTGGGCTGGATGATGGGGTTTGAGGGGGCAGGTTGAGGAAGGGGGTCGTGGGAGGTGGACAGAGCGAAAGTGTGTGGGCATGGCGTGCGGGCTGAGGGTGAAACGCAGTGGCTGCAAGGCAGCGATCGCAGCCAGGGGGGAGTCAGAGCACAGAGGGCATGCAGCTGTGTAGGACAGTCCGATGAGCTTCGAAGCGGGCAGGCTTGCGGGCCATCTGGCGGCCTCGGCCAGGGGCAGCGGTGGCGGCGCAGCGCACGTCCGCCCTTGGCGTCATGCACGCCCACGGCGCGCACCCAGGCCATGCATGCAGCATCACCACCTGCTGCTCCACCACCCGCAGGCCGGCAAGAAGACGTACACGCTGTTGATGGGCAAGCCCAGCCCCGCCAAGCTGGCAAACTTCCCCGAGATCGAGGTGTTTGTGATGGTGGCGGAGCCCCAGGGGCTGATCCTGGACTCGAAGGAGTTTTTGGCGCCCATCATCACGCCGCACGAGGCGCTGCTCGCGCTTACAGGGCAGCCGCTGGAACTGGGAAGCTACCGGCTCGATTACGGGGAGCTGTTGAGCTGGCACAGGGGGGCTGGTGGCGACGGCGGTAGCGGCGGCGGCGGCGGCCAGGGGGAGGGACCCGTAGAGGAGGATGGGGCCGGGGCGGGCGTGTCCGGAGGGGGTGCGCTCGTCGCTTCGGGCGGGCTGCACCTTGGCAGTGCGGCTGCAGCGGGGGACCCACGGCAGCGACAGGTGGTGGCGCGCAGCGCTGCAGAGTATCTCACGAAGGCGCGGACGTTCCAGGGGCTGGAGACACCGGCGACCGGGGCGGACATCAAGGCAGCGGAGCTGGCTCTGCCAGGGCGCTCTGGGCGGGCCGCGGGGTATGTTGATGAGCCAGGACATTGACAGCATGACATGCTTCAGGTGTAACGCGCTGAGCTTCAGTGCGAGGAGCCGGTGGCTGCACCGCGGCACAGTCGCGTCCTTCTGCACTGTGACAGTGATGCGCCCATACAGGCGGGCGAGTCAGCGACGGCCGTGGTGATGAGGTGGTTGCGAGGGGCCGGAACTGTATACCTGAGCAAAAACGGAGTGCATCAGATTCAATTGTGGCTGCCATTGCATTCAAGCAAAGAGCGGGTCTTGGGTGTCGCAGGCACGAACTCACTTGCGCCAAAATCGAAATTTGCCGATAGCTTCATTGATTCGTACTTTCCAACGACATCGGTGATTACGGGCGTGCAACTGCGCGCCGCATTCTCTTTCAGCTGGGATCTGCCGGTAGCATCACGCCGCTGGAACTGGAGGGCTGAAAGGCGGCGTAGGAGGCCCTCAGGTTAGGAGATGATTAATAGTTGCAGCGGCTGCCCGTGCCGCTGTGCCGCACGGGCAGACCGGGCGCGGCAATATTGCGCATTGCCATGCGCGCATGGCGGTGTGGCGCATGTGCACGCAGCCGCCACATGCGACGGGCTTCATCACCGCGGCACCCCCATTCGCAACCCTTCACAGAGCATTTTGAGGCCTTGGTTATCTCATGGAGACGATTATTGAGAGCCTGACGCTGGGCGGCCGCAAGTCGCAGTCACCAAAATCGATTGCGCTCGGCGGCGCGGCCAACGCCGCAGCCACCCCCATCAACATCCCCTCCGCGGGAGGCGCGGCGGCGGCGTTGGCGGCGAACGCCAAAATGAACCACGCGCAGTCCTTCCTGGACTGTGAGTCCGTGCTGATGCAGGCAGCGGTCAAGAGCCCCAAGCCGAGCACGCCGCTGGCGCTGCAGCACAACGTGTCGCGGCCGGCGCAGCAGGGGCTGCTGGGCGGGGAGCTGCTCGCGGTGCAGGAGGACGAGGACGAGATGGCGCAGGTGGGCCGCGCGGCGCCGCTTGGGCTGGGAAGGCCAGGACGTGCAGGGCGGCTGCATGCACGCTGTTTGTTTGCACGCCCTGGGGGCTGGGCTGCATGCCTGCATTGGGCAGGAGCCCAGCGGCGGGGCCTGCTCCTGAGCTGCGCCCTCCCGTGGCGCTCTATCAAAGGGAGCGCGGCGCAGGTGTGGTGACCGCGAGGGAACAGGGGGAATGGGCAAGCGGCAGGGCAATTCAAACAGGGCCGGCACTGAGGACGGCGTCGGCGAACACGCATTTGCACCGCCAAACAGCAGTTGTGCTGTGACGCAGGGTGCAAACGGGCCCAGCACCCTTGAAACTGCACCCCTTGCGTCTGCCCCTGCCCATTATGTGTGGCGCAGGTCGTCATTGTGTGTGAGCCCGAGGGGTCTTCCCTGATGATGGGCGGCCTGCACCCCCGCGGCTCCCTTTTTGAGCGCCCGGTCAACATCGAGAGCGCCAAGGCCCACCACGCAAACTTCAGACAGGCGAGCGCAGGAGATAATTATGTGCCGAGGCACAGGCCCTGGCCCCTGGTGCTGCTGCAGCCGCGCCCTGCCGGGCTCGTCGCGAGGTTTCGGGCACAATGTGCGCAACGTGCGCATGCAAAATGCTGCTTGAACGCGCAACGCTCGCCTACGGGCGCGCATGTGTGTGCGCATATGCCTGCGCACATGCGGGCACACACACGCGCACATACGCACGCACACAGACACACACACACACACACACACACACGCACGCACGCACGCACACGCATGCGCACACACACACACACACACACACACACGCGCGCGCACAGGTGCTGCGCGAGCACGGCGTGCGCGTGCTGACAGTGCGCGAGATCCTGGCTCACGGCGTGGAGGAGCACATGGGGGCGCGCGTGGCGCTGGAGAACCTGGCCATGTCGACACTCCAGTACAAGGTGAGGGGCCAGGGGTGCGCAGCTGTGGGAGTGCTGGCTCTGGTTTTCTCAGCTGGTGAGGGGTAGGTGCAGTGTGTATTAGGCGTCTGATGCAGCTGCCAGGCACGGCTGGCTGTCCGAGGCGGCGGCGGCCCCCTTGGCTGTTTGCCGGTTGAGCCGCTGGCAGCCGAGGAAATGCGGCTGCCACCGCCCCACGCGGTCGGGTGGTTGCTGGCCCTGCCACCCCGCAGCTGGCCCGAGATCAGCACTGCTGGCAGTCCTGTGGGCTGGGCCTGGGCCTTGGCAGTACGTCAGCAACCCGCGACATCAGCCCAGCTTGCCTCGCAAGCATGGCACGCGCTGCCACCCAAGTCCCAGCCGCCGTCCCCACCCTTGCCGAATCAACCAAGGTCGCCGAGGGCTTCACCGCTGAGGACATTGCCGAGAAGGACCGCTTCTACTTGACAGACGACTACAAGAGGGAGGTGAGGGCGCCACTACAGCCACGCTGCCCATGCCCCAAGGGCAGGCGGGCTCGTCAATCCTGTGGTTGGAGGGCCTGTAGGCCCTCACGGCTTGCGTCCTTGTTTGAGCCCCGCACCTGGTTTCGCATCGGTGCCAGCTTTGAGAGGCGTCAGGGGCTCCCCTCACGCCTCTCAAGCACCGCCGCCCACCAACTCGTGACCGCCCTGTGCGCCCCGCCCCCCCGCCCCGCCCCCCAGGTCGTCGAGCACATGAGCATTGCCCAGCTGATTGACATAATCCTCATCAACCCCACGGTCGCGCTGACGCCCTCGGGGCGCGACACGGGCTTCATGGCATCCTACACGTTTGCGCCCCTCTCAAACCTGGTCTACACAAGGGACCAGCAGGTGTCGCTGCGGCGCGGCGCCGCGTCTCCTACCCCCGCTACCCCTGCGGTGGCGCCATTGTGTCGCGTGTGCGCTGGGCACTGCGGCTGTTTGATGCACAAGGCCTTGTTTCTTTCAACCCGTTTGAGCCTGGTGAGCATCAACTGCTTCTGTGGCTGCAGCCGATGCCTGACCTGCGCGCCCTCGCCCCTCTGTACCCCCCTTAGATCACCACCTGCAAGGGCATCGTCATGGGCTGCCTGCGCAGCGCACAGCGCCAGCGGGAGGTGCAGCTCATGCGCTTCTGCTTCAACAAGCTCGGTGGGCCCCCCTGGGTTGGTGGGGTTGGTGGGGGCGAAGCCATCCCCCGTGTTTGCCCCAAAGGGGAGGAGGAGGGTAGAGGCATGAACACGTGTCATTGCCGCGACGAGCGAATTCGTGCACGTCCAACCCCCAACATCCTTGGCACAGCGGCTTCTACCCGCCGCACGCCACCCCTGCGCCGCCGGAGTCAGCAACCTTCACGGCTCCGCCCCGTCGATGACACCCCCATGCGCCCCCTCCCCCCAGGCATGCCCATCGTGGGTGAGATCGAGGCTCCTGGGTTCCTGGAGGGCGGCGACTTCTTCCCAATGGGCCAGGACCTGGCGATGGTCGGCATCGGCCTGCGCAGGTGCGCGCCGCTCGCAGCGGCTCAGCTGTGGGCGGTGGGAGTCGAGGAGGTGTGCTGCGTGCGGGCGTGCTGGACCTGCAGGCATTGCGAAAAGCCAATCCCGTGTGACGCGGCGCGTGCGTTAGCTGCTCGCAAGAAGTTGGCGGGGACAATGTCGGGGCTTACAGGTCAGCCGCACGTTCTGTTGACGTTGAGACGACTGGGGACGAATGCGCATGCGTGGGCGCGCGCGTAAACACGCCCCCTCGAACCCCACAGCAACATGGAGGCGTGCCAGCAGCTGATGGACCGGGACCTGCTGGGCACCCGGCGCTTTGCTGTCGTGAGGGACGACTTTGACAAGAACCAGGTGCGTAGGCTTTTGTGTGTGTATATGTCCGGGTGTTGGTGCGTTTGCGTGTGTACATAAGCACAGAGTCTGCGTGCACCTGTGCGCTTGTGAGGCTGATTGACGCGAAGGCGGTGAAAAAGAGAGAGAGAGAGAGAGAGAGAGAGAGAGAGAGAGAGAGAGAGAGAGAGAGAGAGAGAGAGAGTGTGTGATTTGTGCATGTGGCTGCGCACATGCACAAACGCCAACGTGGGAGCGTGTGCAGAGTTGTGTGTGTGTGCGTGTGTGTGCATATTTGTGTGTGTGTGCGTGTGTGTGTGTGTGCATGTAGATGTATATGCATGCAAATACAGCGCGTGCCGCCGCGCCCTGCGGGCTTATGCTGCAGCATGGCAGTATGTACATATGTGCTGATTTGTTGATGCACCGCATGCCCGCCAGCGCAACAGCTACTGCTCCCACCACCTGTCCCCAGGATCGGATGCACCTGGACTGCGTGTTCAGCACCCTGGGCAGCAACTGCTGCATCATGCTGGAGGTGCGCCACAGCTGGGGCTGCATGTGCAAAGGCCGCTTGACGCATCGCTTGGTTGGCAAGCATTCGTGCTTCCGCCGCAGAATTGGAATCCCAGCCAAGGAAAAGGGATGCCTGCCTGCTGAGTCTGCGCGCCCTCAAATGCCATGTCGCAGCGTGCCAGCCGCACCCCACCACCCCTCGTGTCATAGGCCCCTCCCGCAACAAACCCCTGCCCTCCCC